GAGATACTGTTCATGGTCAGGGCTCATGGTCAAATCGGGAGATACGGCTCCTCCAACATGAAGGTATCTCTGAGCTACGGGTCTTCCTCCCTCACCCACGAGCAAAGCCATGGCGCCTCTCATATTCAGTGGGTATTGTACTTGAGGATACACAACGTCATTTTAGAAAGAAACAAGAGGCTTGGGAAGGTAACGTCACACAGCTTACTAGGAGGCCAATTTGGGACCTGAACCCAATCTGCCAGACCCTAAGGCCACGGTGGGAACCACTAACCCACACAGCCTCTCATGCCAGGATGCGGGTGGGGAGAGCCCCGGAAGCTTCTCCACAAAATGGCTGCACTAAGTAAAGCAAGGGTTAAAAGCCAATGGTCCCAGAAAATGAAACTTGGAGGGATGAGGAGAGTATAAAAGTTCATTGTGTTTTATACGACAGTGGGGTGCTCTCTAGTTGAGTCCGACCCCTGGTGACCCCATGAGTGCAGAGTAAACTGGACTTTGTAAGGTACTTAAGGCTGAGAGCTTTTGGAAGAAGAATATCAGGCCTTGGAGGGATCTTCTAAGGCACCTGCAGGTGGGCTTGAACTGCCAACCTTTCAGCCAGTATGAAGGTACTTACCCAGCTGCACTACCCAGAGGCTCCACAGTGGTGTTGTCCATTAAAACTAAGCCTCCATATGTACAAATGTGCTTGACACATGGATGGATGGATGGATGGATGGATGGATGGATGGATGGATGGATGGAGATAAGAGCTCCCCATAAAATGATTTTTTTAAAACAATACCAACAAAACTAAACTTCCACTTTAAAAAATGGAGGTGGGTGAGTAGGATGACAGAGACACACAAGGACACTTCTGGTGTGATGAACAGGTTCATTATTCTGACTGTTCTATTGGTACCACATGTGTATACCCCAACCTAGCACACTGCCATTGGGTCAATTCCAACTCACTGCGACCCTCCATAGGGTTTCCACGCTGTAAGTCTTTACAGATGCAGACCAGTCTCATCGTTCTCCCTACAAGTGTGTCAGAATTCATCATCCTATTGCACCTCAGTTATACCTCAAAGAGCCATAAAGTAAAATGTATAGTTTTTATGTCAGAAGGTTAAAAAGGAAGAAAGAAATTGAATAGGATCCCCGATGTACACATTTAAAACACATCCAGATTTATTTCAGGGAAAAATGTAAATCATCAGACATAAAGTCATCTATCATTTGATTCAGGTGTCATTTATGAGTATGTATGTAGCAAAGGCTAAAGGTTTGCTTTTAAAATTAGAAACTAAGGCAATAAGAAATAAAAACCTAGGACGGAAGAGTCCAGGACCAGAACCCGCCAACTCCCAAAGTCACAAGAGGTGACTGCCAGCCTTTTCTAATCCTTCCAGGATTCAGTCATGAAACCACGCCAAACCCATGGCATAGAGTGAGTTCCAACTTACAGGGAATCTATAGGAAAGGGTAGAACTGCTTCCTAACTGTTTCCAAGGCTGTAAATCATTAGATGAGTGGACAGCCTCATCCCCGCCCTCCCCCTCCCCCGCCCCCTCCTGCGCAGCTGGTCGCGTTCAAACTGCTGCCCTTGCGGTTAGCAGCCCATGCATGACCCACTAAGCCACCAGGGCTCCTCAGTTCAGCCACTGGCATCAGGAACCGCAGACTCGGGAACAGTCAGCCAGATGCCTACTACAGCCCAACATAAGCACAACTCATGACCTGTAGTTCCCATCTTGGGCGCATGCCCATCTGACAGAGGTGCTCGTGGACCCCAAAAGACGGGTACAGATACTTCCTGACACCTCTAACCAAAAAAGCCCCACAAGGAAACTGTACAAAAGTTCATCTCCAGGAGAATGAATAAACAAATGTCAGTCCATTCAGTCTCTGGAATATTGCACAGCAATGAAGAAGAACAAATTACTGAGAGACAACATGTATAAACCCCAGAGATAATATGTGAGGGGTAAAAAAGGAAACCTAGAAGAAGATATGCTCTCAGATGGCATTTGTATGCAGATCAAGAACACGGAAAAAAAACAAAAACGAATCACGGTGATAAAGATCAGAAGAGCGGTTACCCTTTAAGGTATGCTGATGACAAAAGGGCAGGAGGGAGCCTTCTGGAGGATGCAAACATTCTGTATCCTGATCCAGATAAAATACCCATCAAGCTATACACTTTGGGTTAAAGCACTTTCTGCACTTACTTCACTGTCTACGAGGGGGCTTCAAAAAGTTCACGGTAAATTGCAATTATCTTTTCATTTCATTTTCCCACACATTGTTGAAACTTCTTCGTATAAATTATATCTACCCCAGAGAGGAATCAAAACATACTTATACTGCCAAGACTTAATGTCCCATGTACAGTAACTCAAAACCCACAGATGCTAACAGCACAGGCAGGGACAAGACCACAGGAACTAAGAAGGTAGTAACAGAGACAAAAAGACCTGGGGGGGGAAAAAAGAGTTGGAACCACCAAGGAAAATAGCCTCATCTTCTTGAATAGAGGACTATTTCAAACTTTCACTCTTTGGCAAGATGAAAATAGATGGAGTTTCCAAGGACTGCGTCCTATTATATAACCCATAATGATGCTCATAGAATAAACTTTACTCAATATAAGTAATTAAGACAAAGAGTCACTGAATTTGAATTGTGCACGTTACAAGCTGAGGACTCTGTACTTGTAGGAAGAGCTGGCTGTGATTTCCTCTCTGCAGAGGTGTGGGCAGTGCAGCCTCAGAGAGGCTGGTACTCTGGGCACCAGGACCATCTCAGGTGCAGGAGCAGGGAGCTGCCATGGGTCTTCTGTTGCAGTGGCTGAAACCTACCCTACGAATGGTTTGCTTCTGCAGAGCAAATTATTTTGCCCATTCCAACTGTCCTCTTTCCCCAAACATGAAGTGCAGAGCAAATTATTTTGCCCATTCCAACTGTCCTCTTTCCCCAAACATGAAGAATGGTTTTTAATTTTTTTAAGAATTGGCAGCCACCCGAGAAAATGAAGTTTTGTTGGGGGCTTGCATGGTCCAAATCAGTTTGGCCACTTTAACTACTTCAGGCTGAAAAATCTGTATTCCGGCCAAATGCTGCTATTACAAAGACATGCCCCCCTTTCCTTCTTGGTTGCAGGCCCGTACGTAGAATGCTCGCCCTCTTGGGTGAATACTCACAGTACAGCTGTCACGGAGAGCGTCGAATTTGCGCTGGATTTCATCTCGGTGAGCCTAAAAGGTAAGAAGCTGGTTACGAATTTTCCATAGGGTAGGAGACAATCGTACATACTATGGATCACATACAGAGACTAGCACTTTGCCTAGAAAGCAGAGAACACTTTTGCAGCAGCCTCAGCACCTGGTTTCCAAAGAGCTAATTCATCAAGCCAGCCCCAATGTCAGAAATAAAGCTACCGAACACATGGTGGCGCTGTGCTAACAACAGTTAACTGTTTAGACCACATATACATACCTTGCACAGATATATTTAACATATATATAAATAACATCTAGGAACTAACGAAGGAGTTCTGTACTCAATTGCTAACCAAAAGGTCGGTGGTTCAAACCTATAAAGTGGCCCTATGGGAGAAAACCTTTGGCAGCCTGGTCCTGCAAAGATTACAGCCTAGGCAACCCCATGGGGCAGTTCTCTTCTGCTGCAGTGGGCACTGATGAGTTGGAACTGACTCAATGGCACTCAACAACAACAACAACAACAACCAGGAATGAATAGGAGAAACTTTAAAAAGACAGCAATGAAGGATGAAGTGTTTATGCTGCATCATTGATCTTATTTATCCCCCTCTCTGGGAAAGGGAGAAACTCTGCCTCCTGCCTCCAATTGACGCCTTCCTTCCCCAACCCCCTCCCAGAGACAGATAGATCCACAGAAACACGCATACACCACCGACACACAAGTGAAGGCAACGGGCAGGACAAAGTGGGGGCTGATTTGTTTTTTGGTTTTTTTTTTCATCAGCAGCTGTGGAAGTGCAGAAAAATCCAACCATGACCTTGAAGCATATGCATGGGCTTTCTCTGAGGCGGAGCTGCCCTACAAAACAGCAGCATGCATTTAGCAGATAAGTATGGTTTGAGTGTGTGTGTGTGTGTGTGTGTGTGTGTGTACACACACACATACTATATGCCAGATGCTGCTGCGCTGGGAGAAAAGAGTGGCCTCCGCCTCCATTCTGATCAGAGAAGACAGGAAATAAACAAGCTCATGACTAAAAACTCAGAAATGCTACAGAGGAAACAGGCCCCAAGGAAAACAATCCAGGCAGTCAGCAGGAAATGATGTACATGATGTGGACAAAGAAGACCTCTCTCAAGCCTGCAGTGATGAGAAGTGGCCATGCAGAGAGCAATGAAAGGTAGTAGGAGCAGCATTTTGCAAAACCTTGAGGTAGCGCAGACTTTGGTGCATTTGAAGAAAAACAACCAAAAAAGTCAGCGTGGCCACACTAGTTTTTCCAAACCTCACGCTGGTCCTAAGAGTAAGCCATAACGAATGAGTTTTGCTGGTTTTAACCAACAGAACAAGCACAAATCGAAAACATAAGAACACACCATGGTTAAGAAAGGTACGTTCTGTGGTAGGCCACTCTTGTTACCAATACCATGATTCATCAAAGTTTCACTGCTTTCTGTCATGGGGTCCATCAGTATTTGATGGACCACTGAGGAAGAAAAAGTGCTCTCCATAAGACTAGGACATATCATTGATATAAGATGCACCCTGATTTTAGGTCAATGACACGACAGTATAACTGCTCTCCTCTATGAACCTGCAAGGTAAAAAGGTACTACTCCTTTGTGAAATTGGGGTTCAACAGTTTCTGGGGGAAAAACAAGAGATAAAGAGAAGTGGCCCAAGGATCCTCTATGTCCAGTTAAGAGTTCGGGTTCCATTAAAAATGCAATTAATTGGAAGTCAACTGAAGATTTTAAAGGGGAGTAACACAGTCTGATTTCTGTTTTAAGAGCAAGCACAAGAAACATAAAGAAATTAAATCAAACCATATCAGAATCAAAGAAAAGAGAACATCTTTAAAGCCATTCAGAAAAAAAGATAAATTATATACAGAGAAACAAAAGAAAAAACTATGGATTTCCCCTATTAAGAAAAAAAAAAAATCAAGCTATAACACAGATGGGGAGTACCATCTTTAAAACACTGAGATTGGTGGGGGAAAGAAAAACCACCTAAAATTAGATATCCAGCAAAAATGTCTTTCAAAACCTGAAGGTGAAATAGACATTATCGCGCACACAGGGTGAAGGAATGTGTCACCAGATAACATGACCCTAAGAAAGGTTTGTTAAATTCCTCTGCACAGAAGGCAGGGTGATAACCAAAACTCCAGATCTGCGCAAAGGAATGAAGAGAACCGGAAAAAGTGCAAAGTCAAACCAAAGTGGATAGCTGCACAGACAGATTCATGAACAGTCATCAATAAAAAAACTCATAAAAAATCAAACTCTTCATGTCGAATTAAATTCCCAAATAACTTGCTGGTTTTTTGTGGACTCACTTATAAAAACCACATTCCCCACCCCCTTGAAAAAGTAAATAAATAAATTTGTCTTTTGCCCAGCAAGAATAAACGAGATGTGTTGGTTTGATGGGGGGCGGGGCTATCTGCACTGCTGCTGGAGTCTCATCTCTGACCAAGCCGCATCCCCTCCTGTGTGGCCTGGCACCCCCTCCTCTCAAGTGCATTCCATGATCACCAAGGGCAAAGGGTAAGGATTCTCCCTAGAAGAAAAATAAAGCCTTTGTGTTAATCAATGCTAGCTCAAGGGTCAGCAAACTCTTTTAAAGACCCAGACAGTAAACCCTGTTGGCTTTGGGGGCCATTGCTCTCTTGTCACGATTCTACTCTGCCTTTACAGCCCAAAGCAGCCACAGGTACGTGTAAGTAATCCACGAATGTCTGTGCTCCCTCAGACTTTATTTACAAAAAGAGTAAGTAGACCTAGTTTGGTCAGCTTGGCTCTAGATGGCTATTTGGTTTGAAATCTCTGAAAGATAGAAATAGGAAGCTGACACTGTGAGGTCATAAGGTCTACTGGTCAGGGCCAGGGAAAGACACCTTGCTCCACTTTCAGCAAAGTTTCCTATTAACATCATTCCCTCGAACACATTTCCCTGTCCCGTTGGAACCAGACATTTCCATCAGCAATTATTGCCATTGAAATCGATCAGTACGTAGTCTGGATCACTGCACCATATCAGTGGCAATTTCTTAAAATATATAATGTAATGAGCTATAGTCATTATGGTTTTAGATTTATTATTGATTGTGAAGTATAAACATATGAAATTGATTCTGTCGTGGCTACTAAGGTTACTCTAAGCATTTAACAATTACAGAATTATGTTTCTTTGAATTGTAGAATATACAAAAAAGAGAAAAGTTCCACCATAGTATATCAATGCCAACCCCCACCCCACCCCACTCCCAAAGAAGCAAAGCTGCTGTTGCCAAGTTGATCCTGAATCCCAGTAACCCTACAGGACAGAGGAGAATCACCCCCAGAATGTCTCCAAGGCTGAACTATTCGCAGGCATGGACTGCTGCATCGGTCTCCCAGGGAGCCGCTGGTGGGTGGATTCAGACCATCGGTCTCTTGGTTGACCTCTGAGCGCTTTAACCACTGTGTCACCAGGGCTCCTCCATAGTATGCCTGGATAGTACAAGGTAGAAGATATGCTTTGGATTCTAATGAGAAATTGAAGTAGTTGGTACTAGAAGGAAAACATGTACCTTCTTAAAAAAGCATCGAGAACCCTAAAACACTTGTTTATGCGGACTGTTTTATCCCTATTGGGAAGTGAAAATGCAAGTTTTGTTTTGTTTTTTTCATTTCTTTTAAGCTAATACTGCTATTGTACCATCCGAGAAAACGTGGCTACAGTGGAAAACAGCAATAACACTTGATTTTCGTGGTCTGTGGGGTCCATCAGCTTAGTGGCTAGGGGGTAGCAAGGTGGAACGGGCAGGGTGAAGCAGCTTTGTGGAAACTAGGGGAAGACGCTCTTGGGGGCTGCTGCTATCTTCATTCCTTTTAAAGAAAGCATCAGGAGGAAGAAGGAAGGGAGTATTGCAATGGCACCTTGGGGAGCGGAAACCAGTGCTGAGCAGCCAGGCCGCCTTCTGGGCGCCCTGAAGGAAGATCCCTCCATTCCACGCGAAGGCAAAAGGGCTACTTTCCATGCTCCGGTTCCACAGCTTGGTGATCACGCCAAAGGCTCCCTAATTAAACTCAGGGCTTGCTGTTCATGTAAAAACATGAGTGTGTGCATTGAATATTGATGGCAGCCAGTCAAACGAGGATGACTTTGGGATCCCATAATCAAGCGCTGCTACAAGAGCTCCCACCATTGTGCCCTTCATTTTAGGCTCTTGACTAGTGTACATTAGTCCCTGGATTTACTCAGTGAAAGGACGGGGTCATAAAATGTGTGTGTGTGTGTGTGTGTGTGCGCGCGCGCGCGCGCGCACACGCTTACCCAGGGACAGAGAGTACATGCCATGCCTCCACCAGGAAAGAACGCATACGGGACACTGCACATCTCTATCCTATGAAGGAGGCTGATCCAGGGCCTCTTTCTTGGATGAAGACATCGTAGGGAGTCTTAAGCATCAAGTCCATGCTGAAAATTGCCCATCAATAAGTACTTACGTATCTTAAAAGCCTAGCTTTTTACTCCAGTGTGCCTTTCCTGTTAAAATTGGCTTCCCTTCTACTTCGATTCAATCTCGGCTTTTAAGGGCCAGTGAGTTTCAATGCAAACACAAATGACAAAATGGGTAGAGGGCGTGAGGAGCAAAAGGAAAGTACCAGGAAGGCCTAGGACGGCTTCCCGGCCCTCCCTGCCAAGTCTCTTCCAGGCAGAGCTTCCGTCTAACCGAGCAAACTCCGGTGGAGGGCAAACAGGGGAAGTGCGGCCTTCCAGGGCTAGGCACTGGTTGCTGCAGAACTGAGTACTAATAGTCCATCTTTATGGAAGAAAAGGCCAGCTGAAAGGCTCCCAGACCTCCTAGGAGACCGCTTGAGATCCAGCCGAGTTAATGGAATGGGTGCACATGCTGGGTCTGAGCTCGGGCCTCAAACAATGACAGCACACTGCATCTGTGAGCATTTTTGTTTTTTCTTGGAAAAGGTACTCTTTTGAACAAATTCAGCAGACTCAATCCGGCCACCACCACATGCTGTCGGCAACCAGGCTTCTGAGACATAATCAAGACGGGGGAGGGAGACCCACAGCCTCACAACAGAAAGGAAACCAACTGATCAGGGCTCTGGAGTCCCAAGAGACCAGCTTCCAAACAGCTGCTGGCCTGAAGGTGCTGGCTTCCCCACTGTCAGTGCGAGCACGACCTGCTTTCCCTGCGCCATAACCTGCAAGAGAGAAAGGGGCCTAGTTTTCCAGGCCCGAAGAGGCTTGTCTCTCATTTTATTTTATTTTGTAAGAAGATGCTTGGAGGCAGTGATCTCATCTGACTAAATTAAGTCGTGACTCCCTGTTTCGAGAGGCTTCCAGCAGCCATTAGACACAGCACATTCCTACCACAGCACGGAAGGATTTAAAGGGCTAATTTCTGCACAGATAAACAGCAGTGACACAGGCTCTATTTTATACCCGCCTCCTTCCAAACAGGGCAGGGTAAGACACCAAGCCACCGAGGTCCCTCCAGATTCTAATAGGAGTGTGATATAAATGTGTCCTCCTTTGTGGCTCCAAGGTACCCCGATTTGGGGAATTACAGGACAATCTCAACGGGAGGAAGGGCTGAGGACACAGCACTAGGCACGTCTTGCGGGCTCATTAAATATGGATTAAATGACTGACGTCTCCACCCCTTTCAGAGCTTTGGGAAAATATTAATATACCGTGCATTAAACATAATATTCATGGAAATTTAGTTGTCTCCCGTTAGAAGCTAAGAACAGCTATCTCTCTGCCTCCTTCCCCACCCACCCAACCCCAGCAAGCATGCCCTATTAGATAGTCAGCTCATTCTTGGCTCCCCCACCTCTCCCCCATCTACCACCTTTCTAGCTCTATCTTCTTTGCCTTTTCTTGCTTGCTTCATCCTGCCAGACTGTTTGTATCCTTCCAAATGGCTTTCAATTCATCTTGAAGCAACACAGAGTATAAATAAGGAGATGGGGTGACTATGTTTCCCCCCAGACCAAATATTGAGGTCACGTGGTGGCATCATTTAATCATTAGCACAGCATTAACACTCAATCAATATCTGAAATTGGATGCAGTGCTGGAAAAATCCAGGATGTACACGCACCCTGCCTACGTACGAGCTACTCTGTACCCCCAAAGACACGGGGGCCCACGATGTTGCTGACTAGCCACACTATCAGCCTCGCTCTCTCAGATCACACTCCCACTGTAGATCAGAGAGTGGGCCCAAGAGCTCGATAGCAGGAGATGACTTCTAAGAGTGAAGCTAGGTTTGATAAATAATCTATGTGTCCAGCCATCTCTAGAAGTGACGTCACTCTAAGATGTTTTGGAGATGTTGACAGATGCCCACTTTGAAGATGGGGACGACATCCAAGCTGAATCAGAGTGAATCAGGTACCTATTCAGGGCCCATATTTATAAAGCAACGAGCCCAATCAGCTACATTATGCCCTGCCCACAGGAGAGGGTACCCTGACCAGCAGACAGGTGTGTGCCACCCACTTGGCAGGTACAGCACATACGACAATGGTCGTAATGTACGCACTTGGGCGGCACTGCCATTAAAACTCGTTCAGCCCTCTGTGCTCAGCATCCAGGATCACCATCCAACCTTCCAACTGAGATCTGGATTTCTCAGAGGGCGTCCCCGAGGGGACAGGGGCCACCCACAGCACTCAGCCCACGTGATACTGCTGTTCCCACGCTGAGCTGGTACGTTGGCATTTTATATATAGGGCTCTTGTGACTTTGTTAGGCAACTCTGGGAAATTGGCTAAACAGGGTCACATTTTTGGAGCTCCGGAAGGGAGTCAGGGCTAAATCCAGGGAAACCCTCCTAGAGACACACCTCCAGCGAAGTATGCTAATCTCTCAGACGGAGCATGAGAGCCAGGGCTCTTCCAATGAAAGGATCTCGGTTTAGAGAGAGAGTTGCTACTCAGATGACACCAGATGCATAAACATGAAGCGAAGCAGAAGCTACTGCTTTAAAAGAAAGTGATATGATGGAGGTTAGCCCCACCCCCACAGGAAAACAGAATGTGGCAGGAAGACTAAGAGACTACTAAGATTCTCTTTCTTAAAAAATAATTTCTGAAAACTGAAGTCCAAGACTCTGACAAACTTTCACTGATGCGGAAATTGAAAATATAGTGTCAATTATTTTAAAAAGAGAGGAGGTACACAGATCAAGGAGGCCGTTTCCAGGATAGTCACGCCACCTCGAATATTACAGCTGATCCAGTCTACTAGTTCCCGGGAAGGAGAAGCTTATGGGAGCCCATTTTTCACCAGCTGAACATCTCTGAGGATTTTCTTCCCTGCTTGCACTGACTATGTGTGGGTAAGTAACCACGGGCTGCACTCAGCTTGGCTGAGGCCACCAGCAACCTGAAGGCTCTGCTCCCCAGACCTACCGTGAGTGCCTGGATCTCCTCTTCTGCTTCTGCTGTCGTTTCCTCCAGCTCCGTCTTGGCTTGGCGGAGCTGACTCTCCAGGGCCGCCCGGGCAGCCTGGAGGGCCGTGAGCTGGGACTCGCGCTCTTGAAGGGAGAGTTGCAGCTCTGTGAGCTGGCGCTTGAGCTCCAGCTTCTGCTCCTCGTGCTCCAGACTGACCTGAGAGAGAGAGACAGAAGTCCGGGTGATTTCAATGCAGGGGAGGCCAACACCAGGACTGCAGCAACCCAGCTGCATCTTGAACTTGGTCTGGAAATCAAATTCTCAGCACCCAACGAGGGGGGAAGAGTCTCAAAAATCCACGGGAGGGGGAGCATGTAATAGGCTGTATGGATAAGCCAGCCCAGACTGGCAACGTACGTGCGTAAAAGGAATGCAGAGATGAAAGACGGTCTCTACGAGCTGGGGAGAGAAAGAGGAAAGGCAACTATTCCCACATACCTTGGTCAAGTGCAATGGTCAGAACATGTAGGGATGTCATGGAGTGGAGAGGCAGAGGAAGGAATTCTGGATCTGTGTGTTGAAGTATTTATAGGAACAAAGCAGCCAAGAAGAACATAATGGAAATTCCAGACAGGAGAAGAGGTTTAAAGGTACTAAGGCAGTGGTTCTCAACTTTCCACATGCCGTGACCCTTTAATACATTCATGTTGTGGTGACCCCGCCCAACCATAAAATTATTTTCATTGCTACTTCATAACTGTAATTTTCCAACTGTTATGAATTGGGCGTCCCCTGTGAAAGGGTCATTCTACCCCCAAAGAGGTTGTGTGACCCACAGGTTAAGAACTACTGTACTAAGGTAAGGAAGACCATAGCATGTCCATTTAATGATCTTATGAAATACTGGCCAGGTCACCTTAGGGACCAGAAACTATGGTGGGTACAGGGGATGCCACACAAGTAAGGAATGTTAATTGTCTGTGGATCCTCACTGTCTACCAGGACCTGCCAAGAGGGAATAAGGTGAGAAGATGAGCAGGGCAGGTTGTAAGGATCAAAGGAGACATTCAATTCTGCTTCAGAGGGTCAGAGAAAGCTCCCTAGAAACATGGATAGTGGCATTCATGTGCCAAACACCACTGGGCTCAAGAGAAGGACAGTTTGCAAAAGAATTAGTCTGGACAACCAAGATGGTTCAGTTGAATCAGCAAGGTGAGTCAGGGAAGAAAAGGGAGTGGGGAGACTTCTGGATTTGGGGGTACATGAATTAGACAAATGGCCAGACCATTAGCAATTATGGGAACTGGAGAGGAAGAGTCAGTTTCGGGAGAAAGGTGAGAAATTCCATTGAGCTTGAAATGCATGGCAGATATCCAAGACTAAGATCTACTGGGACAATGGGTCAGGAGCTCCAGACACAGGTCTGGGATAGTGATCTAATCTGGGTCCCCTTAACAAGGCAGTGGTAGCCAACTGTGGTCGGTTCTGGTCTCCCTTCAGTGAAGAAGATGAGGACGACAACTAGTAACACACGCACTTATCACACACAGGTACTGGATTAATCATTCCAACTTCACAACAACCCAGTAAGCTAGTTACTGCTATTCCCACCCCAACTGTGGTGATGGGAGATTAAGGAACTGAGTAAATATCATGTATCTAAGGATTGCATTTCAAACCAGGATGTCTGGCTGGAGTGCTTCCGTTTCAACACAAGGCCTTGCTGGCTTATTAATAATGCCAGTCATCACAGCAAGACAGGACTCTGGTAGAGTGGGTTATGCACTAGGTTGCTAACAGTGAAGCTGGAAGTTCAAACCCACCAGCTCCTCTGCGACAGGTGAGGCTGATTGCTCCCACAAAGATCTGCAGCCTCGGACACTGTCCGAGAGAGTTGCTCGGAGTCAGAATGGACTCAATGGTGGTGGGGACTCTGGAGAACCCAGGAGTCCTGCACATGCACAACCCCGTACTCTTCGCGAAAGCAGCAGTCACCCTGCACAAACAGAAAGCCCAGGGCCCATCAAGGTGGCTCACTCCCCGGGGCACCACCTCTGGCCCCAGCCTCAGCAGCAGGCTGGGCTGAGGCAGGGGGTGGGGGAGATGGACAGCACTGTGAGAGTCCACATGAGCCCCAGAACTCCAGGGATAAGAGGCGATCTGACAGTCTCCCACTGCACATGGCTGGAAGAGCCCTACTGACTCAAGAAAAGAGCAACGAGCTCTACCTGCAGCGTTGTAAACGGCTGGCCACTTGTAAACAAGGTTCATGCACTGGGGACAAAAAACAAAAACAAAAAAACCAACCCAAATCTCAGTTGTTTCTATTTCCATCCTCACTCCTTTTCCCTCATGGTCAAAGTGCACGCAGTCTGGGCATTCAACAGCCATCAAGGCTTTCAGACAACTCAGAACCACAGCTCTCCCTCAAGTCTTTGGCGATTTAGAATCACCTGGGAAGCTGGTGACAAATGCAAATCCCCGCTTGCTCATCCCACCCCTGAAAGCCCAGGGTGAGGCTCAGGCAGCCCAGTGCTGCCTAGAACTAAACACAGGCTAACATCTTTTCTCTGTCCATTGGAGAACTAGGCTTCATTGTAATGCTCCGGGGCACACTGAGATGCTCTGGACATGAGCCCTACCCAGGGTTTAGTCCTCAGACCACATCTGCTTGACCGCCTTTTCTTTTAAGATTTCCATCACAGCTACGTGAGCACCTGCTTTACCTGACACTCACTCTCTGCTTGACCTCCACTCCAGCCATTGCCACTCTCCTGAACTCTGTTCCTGTTTCTGCAGGTGCCACCATTCACTCTGCACCAAGCTCGGAAGCCCCCAAGGTCAGGGCCGGGTCTGTCTTACCCACCACTGTAAACCCAGCTGCTCACTGGCCCCAGCCTGTGTTTCCTACAGACATGCTGAATAAGCTGAGTGAATGGTAGTCAATGGCTTTAATCACTCACAGCATGTCTCCTCCCCAAATCCCGACTGCTCCAGCCCAGGTTCCTGAGATCTAGTAAGAGGCCCACCTTCTCTGAGGGTCAGTCAAACCTCCAATTTGGTTTCCTCTCAACCTTCCACTGTCACTGCGAGACCTACCCCATTGTCTCTGAGCCTGGCCAGTACCCAGCACTGGGTGCTAGTGCTGTCTGTACTGACTAGGTCATGTGACTCCCAATGACAGGGGAGCTGCTGTTCCCATTTAACAGATGCACCGACATCGATAGAATCCCCACAGGAGACCATACATGATTGTCACCACTTTACATATAGGGAAGTCGGGGCATGAAGTAAGTCATTAGGTAGTTCTAATCTCAACCCGTATGGTCATCTAGCAGCAAGGTCTAATCATTGATGCCCGACACCATGCTGGATTAGACCCCCGAAGCCCCAGCACATCTCTGCAGAGACCACCCCTCCCCGCTTACCTCCCTCAGCCTTGTCTCCAGCTCCAGCAGCCGGTTCTTGTCGCTGTGATCCTGGTGGCTGATTTTCTCCAGCTGCTCCTCTAGCTTCCGGTTCTGGGCCTCCAACTTCCCGGCCTGTGTCTCCAGGTAAAACTTCTGCTGCCTGAGCTCTGAAATCATCTCTTCCTGAGCCTTCCTGGTTGGGGGTGTGGGAGGGTCCAAACAGAAACACAGTCTCTGTGGAGGGAGCATGTCTCCTTGGAAGGCAGCCAGAAACAGAGACATGTGCCCTGATGTACAGGACCAAGCTGTTCCAGCAAACTGGTCTGGCTTCAGCAAATGATGCCAGCTCGCACCGGGAACCTGGAGGCCACTCCAAGTCCCTCACCTGGGAGGCTAACCCAGCATGGGGCGGGGGTTCTGACGGATCCTAATGTTTCACTCCTTTGGTAGCCATTTATCTTTAGAGAGGAGACCCAGCCCTGAGCTGAGACTGAAGGAAGGAGCAGTGAAGAGAAAGAAGGCTACTTTTCTAGTTCTGCAAAAACAGCTCCCTCAGCTCTCCATCAGACTGCTCAGAATGATTCAAAAACCAAAAACACCACCACCACCCCAAAAACCAACAACCAACCCAGCCTGCCAATCTGATTTAAATTGGGGTGGGAATGTTCTGGAATACCTGTGAAAAAAGGGACCTCAGGAGATGGAAGTTCTGTGGGGGAAAAGATGAAGATGGAAGTATTCCTGGAAGGAGGCACGATCTGACAGTCCTTGCAGAGCCTCAAACTACCTCCCCAGGGCTTAACCTAACAACCACGAGATGGATGGCCCAATTGGACCCACACAAGTTCACCTCTGACTAATTATGGGAGGCAAATCTGAGGAACAAGGCCGGAAGCATTCCAAAAACAAACTACAAATAGCCTCATTAGAGAGACCAAAACACTCCATAATCTGATGCTAATTTGAGGCACTTACGAAAACCCCACTCAAAAGAGAGGACTCAGTAGAGTGAGACCACTTAAGAGGCCCAGGTTCCGGAAGGAACTGTGGGGTGGGCCGAGCATCAGAAGTCATTAAATTCTGCCCCCACTCCATCCGGCAGTGAGGGGTGGGGTGGGGGGCTGACGTGAGAATTTGAAGACTTACATGTTCCTCTGAGTAAAAAGACTGCTATTTGCTGCCAGCTTATTAGCTTCGGACAATTCCACAATCCTCTGTTCCAGGGATCTGATCTTGGAATCCATAGCATTGATCATCTGAAACACAGGGTTCCTTTAAGCCTCCTACACAGTTATACCGGACGAGAAGTAAGGGGAGCAGGGATAAAAGCCTTGTCTGAAGAGCAGGCCACCTGTGCATCAGCCTCACCACGAGGGTCCCAGGCGTCACTGCGTACACTGATGGCACGCGGTTGTTTCTTCAGACCAAGACTAAGCAAGCCTGCACTAGCTAAGTGGCCTCCATTACAAATAGGCGGAAGAATCGAGTCGGGTCTCAGTTAAGTCCCCAAGTCAAGTGCGTGTGACCTGAGCCACTAACAGGCAATCTGCAAGCTGGTATTTTATCAGCACTCAGGGTTGTCATTTCCTGAGTTATTCCTTCTCACCCAGCCACGACTGTCCTAGATTCTCTACATCAAAGTGTCCCCACGATTTCATGCATCATAAGAACCCAGGTGGGACGCTGGTTAAACTATAACTTCCCAAGACCTTCCTTTAGGGATGCTGGTGGGGAAAGTCTGGGTGGGCTCGGGGATGCAGCCAGTTTCTGAAACCACAGGCCACAAGGTTTACAGAGGAGAAACACAAAGAAAAAGGAAAGAAAGAAAACAAACGAGACAGCAACGGCCACTGGGCCCTTTGCCAGAGGGAGCAATTTTGGAGGACAACAATCTAGCTGTTGGCCAACGGGCATGAGTTCCTGACAAGAGCATGAGGGATGAGCAGCCGCCACCCGCTGCTTTTCGACAGCAAGCAGTTACTGAGAGAGCTTCCTGGTATTCACCAAATAACTCTACAGGATTAGACAGGCAGAATGCACTAGAAAACATGGCATCTTCTCTGTGTTTCAAAAGCCCCCTTTAGAAAGCCGACCTAGAGGTTCCTTGTACCTACCGCCTTCTGGTCACTGAGAATCTTGCCTTTCTCGTGGGCTTCCTCCTCGTGCCTCTGCATCAGATTCTCCAGGCTCTCCCTATCGGCCAGGTCTTTCTTGATCTGGCCGTCCAACACCTATGGAGACAAACAGAGAGGCGGTGTCCCGAGAGGAGAGCTGAGCAAGCGAGACTGGACGGGGCACTTGGGAAGGGCCCTGGAGGTAACGGGGCCAAGGCCTCCTAACTCCGGGGAAAGGCCTCGGTTTATCCTTCAGGATGATGCTCCGAAGCCAAAGATGACCATCAAATGGCAGATTTTATTACGAATTTACTTCAAAACCAGTGGCTTAAATAAAAGATGAAGCATATTCAACATGGGAATTGGCTCCAGAGCGGAGGCGGGCGGTGGTGGTGAGGAATCTCCCCTAAAGATCTAGGGAATAAAGTTCTTCTAGCTGCAGCTATAACCTGGGGACATCCTTTAATTAGACAATGTACCAGAATGTCTCAGAGCATTCCTTGCTCTGGTTTGGACAAAATTAATTCCAGACCACCTTGGGCTGTGTGCAGAGGGAGAGAAAGAAGAAGTCCAGGGAGGTCTGTGTCACCCAGGGCAGTGCTCCAAAACCACCGTGGCCGGAGGATTTTGTCTGATGATGGAGAAGGTGGCAGCCAACCGATAGAAAAGACAGCACCAAAAGAGAGAAAGAGAAAGAAAAGCTTCTTTCCTCTGGTCCAGCTGGGAGAGAAAAGTCATCGGGAAAGAGGAGCCTTTCCCGGGGGAAGAGGAAACATGTGTTCTTAGTGCTGAGAACACCACTGTAAGCACCTACTGCTCCCAAGAGGGGAAAGTAAATAGAACAGCAATGGTGTCACCGTCTACCGGCCTGATCTAATAATGTTCTATGAGGCCCCACAGTCCTACCACTTGTCAAACCCACAAGCAAAAAGAAGAAAAGGAGCGATCACATCATAACTTGTCCGAGCCTTTGACTATCGCCTCGTCCCTGATCATAGAGAATTCACTCTGCTAATCTACATGACACCAACTGCCTCGGCAAGGCTAACTGGGTGATGGAATAAAAGTGAGAGGAATTGGGGTCACAGAAGGGATTGAAATCTGCTTTTCCCACAAATGTCTATTGTGAAGAGGCCGTCAGAGTTCACAGGGACTTCTTCCCTAAACAGAGTCAGCCAGCAGGGGAGAGTCCACATGATGAAGAAAGGGAAGAACTGTTTTCAAAGAGGGCTTTAAACTGGAACCAGCCAATGGAGCAAAATAGAACGCCAATTGGTAGAGCAGAACAAAAGGTGGAGGACAGGGTCACGAGGCGGGAAGAAGCTCCATAGGCTTCGTGGGCAACTCTCTTAGATGTCGGAGTGTGATTCTAAAATTATGAGCCAGGAAAGGACAGAACCCAGGGTATAATCGCAATTATTACTAAAACGGCCTGACAGAGGCTGGAATGGAAAACACAAAGCAGAGCCAGCTAGCAAGACATGGTTTTATAGAGTCCAGCAGGGCAGGCAGGAGATATGAGAACTCTCCCTAAAATCCTCTAGGTTCTACAAAACCCAAGTTGTTTCCACCTAGGAGGTAGCAGAGACCACCTAAACATCCACATCAGGTAGTTCTGTTTTTATGAGCTGTGAAAGCAATGACGTACAGTCCAAAAGACTGTTCAAAATAAAATCTCACCTGTGGCCTTGATGGATACCCGTAGGGAGACAAGAGGCAAGACTCTATCAAGGATGCATGCACCTCAGTCCTGATACCATCCACTGGTGGAACGATGAATAAGAATATAAGGTACACACGTGGGGGGGGGGATTTATTTGAAATGAGAGATCTCACTTGTAGACATCTCCATCTCAATTAATTTCACAAAGGGCTATTTATATTTATTAAGCGAGCTGATCAGTGAAGTATCATATTCATTTTCACAGTTTTCTGTAATGAGTTTATTTCAAAGGTGAAAGTTTAGAAGCCAGTAAGCATGAAATTTAAAGTGGATGGAATGTATAAGTAGACACCCGCTAAGCAGGCTGCCTCAGACACTCTGCTGCCTGCCTGTGGCACTGGGGATTAAGCTGCCACACCAGAGCAAATGCTCGGGCATAAACTGGGGCTGTCAAGCACCTGTGAGTAGCTCTTTCAACCACGACAGCAGTAAAAATAATAATAACAATAACAATTAACTGTGTAAATACACTGAAAGTAGAACACTTAAAGGTCCCATTTAGATGACTTGCCTAAACTTCCAGAAGGAGCCCTGGGGTACAGAAAAAGAAGGGGCCTGGGGGATGACAACAGCGGGGTTGAGTGCGAACGAACGCACACAATTGGGTTCCCTGAAGAAGAGACAGCTAACTCTTTGAGAACAGCAACCACATCAATCACAAGGCCTTCAAAGTCTGATTTCTCAAGAACATGAGAATGAGACAAAAAGCATAATGAAAATGTGATACAATTTAAAAGGAAATTGAGAAGCTGGCTTTCATGTCTGATTATATGTTGGGTTAGATGACTGGGCCGGCTCTCCTGCTGAACATGGTTCCAAATGCTAGGGGAAAAGGTAGAGAGGCCCAGTGCTGCCTTTCACCAGAAGCATTTGTGGCACTAAACAAACCCAAGCCTCAGTTTCAATGACCTCCTAAGATGAGGTGACCAGACATCCCGATTTTTAACAATTTTCCCCACGTCTGACGGCGTTAAAAAGCCCCGACTTTTGGAAAGAATGCACAACAAGCTAGGGTATACTGTTTTCGGCTGCCATGTGGCTATTTTGCCAGGATATGAGTTTTCTCAATGGTGTCCCGCTTTACCAATGTTAAAATCTGGTCCCCTTATCCTAAGACAGAAAGAGGGAAAAGTCCAGGGCCTCCTGCAATGCAGGCACCCAATTTCATCCCAGGCCTCAGGGAATTTCCACTAAGAATTTCCCAAAGAAAACGAAAAGCTCACAGAACACACGAGGTGTCCAACTCAGTGCCACTGAGTCGATTCTAACCCACAGCAGCTGCAAGGTGCCAGGCACCATTAAAAAGAGCCAGGAAAGCCATCACTCAACCACTTGCGACATGGGAATTATTAGATGCAGCTTGCAAAACAACTAGGCCAAGAGTATTTCAAAAAGTAAAAGACCAATTTGAACACAATTACAAGAAATTTCTTTTAAAAGTCTGTAAATAACCTAGTACCTTGATAAAGAAATAACACATCTGTGAATGAAGGAAGTACAACAGCTTGAATCAGGCATCTAAAACTCATGAAATGGTCCAACAGTAGATTAGAAACAGCCAAGAAAAAGATTTCACCTAGAATATAGTATAGAAAAACAAAGGAGTAGAAAATATTTCAAAAGGAGAGATTAGTGGTATTATAACATATATCTAATTAAATTTTCAAAAGATAAAGTGGGGAGGAAGAGACATTACTTGTGATATAGCAACTGATGATTTTCCAGAATGGATTAAAAACAACAATCTACTCAAAAAGCCTGGCAAATATCAAGTAGGATACATAAAAGAAAATGTACATCTAGACACATCATCATAAAGCTGCAGAAAGAGGAAGGAAAACACGCCCAAGGAAGTGAAGAAAAAGGTCACCTTCTTCCGAAGAATGCAATGCTTAGACAAACAGCAGACGTTTCAACAGCAATGATGGAAGCCAAAAGTCAATGGAATGATATTGCCAAAGAATATTACAAAAGATGACTTGTCAGCCTGATAGCCTGTCTCTAGTCAAAATATTAATCAAGAATGAGAGTGAAATAAATATTTTCTGACAAGCAAAACAAAGAGCTTGTCACTAGTGGTTCACATTAATGAAGTCCTCAAGAATAAACTTAAGACCAGTGGGCTGCAACCCTTTTGGAAGTCAAACAACCCTTTCACAGGGGTCGCCACCTAAGACCATTGGAAAACACATATTTCCCATGGTATTATGAACGAGACACCGCTCCTCTGTCTCCAGGCGGGTCCACCCACATGCAGATACACCCACCTACGAGTACCCGGCGTGAAGACTGTTACCCATGTTACACCATGCTTCAAGACAAAATTTCCTTGATTTGTCATTAGAAATAAATATTTCACAATATAGAATTACATATTGTTTTTGTGATGTTCAGATGTTTCATTCTGTAACAATGAAAATACGTCCTATCAGATATCTACATGATGATTCATCACAGTAGCAAAATGACAGTGATGAAGTAGCAATGAAAATAATGTTATGGTTGGGGGTCACCACCACATGAGGAACTGTATGAAAGTGTCGCGGCATGAGGAAGGTTGAGAACCGCTGATTCAGACAAAAGGGAAAAAAAAAAGGTCACAGGAAGAAACTTAAAAATAAAAAGTATAGTCATTCTGTGGATGTATCTAAATTATATGGACTGAATGACAGTGAAGTCATTAAAATGTTTTAAAGACAGAATTAAGGTAAGCAAGTTTAAACTTGATGAAATTTTTCTTTTTAAATCATTTTATTGGGGGCTCGTACAACTTTTTTTCCCTTGCACTAACCCAAACTCACTGCCATTAGTGACCCTGTATCAAGGGTGCCTGAGGCTGTAAATCTTTATTTTTATTTATTTTTTAATCATTTTATTGGGGGCTCATACAACTCTTATCACAATCCATCCATCCATCCATTGTGTCCAGCACATTTGTACAACATCATTATCAAAACGTCTGCTTTCTCCTTGAGCTTTTGGTGTCAGCTCCTCATTTTTTCCCCTCCCTCCCCGCTTCTCCCTCCCTCGATTTTTCAAAAATAATTTTAGGAAGTTCAGATACCCTAACCCCCATAAAGGTAACACTCCAAAAATCTCCCACGATGGACTGAGGGCAGAATTGCTCTCTATGGTCCGATATGGGGTCTAGAATGCCCAGGAAGAAGAAAAACTACACGGTGCTAAAGAATGAAGGCCAGGGGAGATGAGAAAGTGTCTTTACTTTAATTTTCTCCTCATAGTGCTGCTCTTTCTGTTTCAGGTGCACTTCGAGGTGTTGGGCAGAGACTTGGGCCTCCCGGTGCTTCTCCTCCAATTCCTGGAGACAAAGGAACAGACTGTCAGGAGTGTGAGGGAAGGACACAATCAAAGTATGTTCAACATTCACGACTGTGGAAACATGACTGGTGCGGCACCACTGCTAACAGGCCTCTGTGCCTACATTACTGTCGCTAAGGCTCTTGGGAAGGAAACCGCCGGCCAAGTCTTGGCCCTGGAGTTTTCCAAGTCCAAGCACGCATACGCATGCGTGTACACACACACACACACACACACACACCAAGCAAAGGCAGTTCTTCATCTTCCCATAGAGAAATAAGGCGACAAGGTAGGATTTTAAAAAGCTGTCCAGCTCAAAGCCTCTGACAACCACTGTCAGGTCTCCAAGTCCAAGCACGCATACGTATGCGTGTGTATACACACACACACACACACACACACACCAAGCAAAGGCAGTTCTTCATCTTCCCATAGAGAAATAAGAGCGACAAGGTAGGATTTGAAAAGGCTGTCCAGCTCAAAGCCCCTGACAACCACTGTCAGGTCTCAGTCCTTTCTCAATGTTCTGACAGCCTTAAATGAGAAGAGTCATTTCAATTCATTAATATGACAAACAAAATATGTTATTTCTTTCCGCTCACAAAATGGTTGCTCAAGAACCCTAGCTAAGAAGGAAAACAAGTGTTACACTCTAACCCTTCAGGCTTCCCATGGTTATTGTAACTGACTGGTATGTGGCGCATATGTGCAAAGCTGGAGATGTTGATACGATGTAACAGTTACAGGATCTGATACTAATGAGGACAAAGAACATAAAATACACTACTAAAAGTGATGTAAAATCTATGCATCTGTTTCAGCGACGAGAAGTGGCGTAACAGGAGCAGCTCCATTAAATGCTATCTTAGTCCCTCTATGGTAAAGTTTCCTGCTTTTGAACAAGAAGTCTATTTAAAAGCATACTGGTTCACTTGCTAACCTATTATCACTGCATCTTATAAAAGGCAGAATCCATTCATTGAAACATTCACTAAATGCACAAATTTTTGCATCTGCCTTAATTGTTATGAATCTGGACCCATTAGTTAATTACTAATATCAAAAGTCATTACTCAAAGTTGTCATCTCTTTAAGCTTATGAAAATTTTCTTTGAATTGAAAGCAATTATAAGGATTCTAAAGGATGAGGGAAATTATACAGGATATGTTCATAAAATGGTGGGGGGGGTACTTTCAGATTCACGTACACATAAAAGGTTAGTGATTAAGCTTTTGAAATTCTGAAGTCTACAATCACTAACTTTGTCTCTGGTGCCAGTCAAGTGTTCCGTCTGAAGACCAGGTGCACAAGGTCTATTGCAGCCTAACAGATGCGGTCTTGGAAAGTTGAATGTAAACAGGGTGTTAATTAATAAAAACCTATTTTAAGGGCTTTGTGTGTGCTCACTAAAGGATCCCCTGGCAACAACTTCTTTTATTAAAACACAAAGACTTGACTGTAATGAGTGGCCCCTTACTAGCGTTGAAACTTATCAAAATAGTAAACATACAGCCGAGGACATTCCTGGATCAGTTGCCAAAGAATCGTCTTTCTGGGACGGCATCAAGGACCGCTCTGTGCGCACGCCCACGACACGCCTCAGCCTGCGGACAGGGTTCTTGAGCAAATTGGCAGAGTCACACCACACAGGCACTCAGGGAGGTGGCAAGATTCAGTCACGGGGGCGAAAATGGGGCTTATTGTTTTTTTCAAGTTAGAAATCACTTGATACTCATCGTTTCCTGTTTTCAATCCTCATGAGAGAGCATGGGAATCTAAAAATAGGTAGAACACTTGGATATCTGAAATCGGTGATTTTAAGACCAAATGTCGGGTCTATTTATGGGTATGAGTTTACCACACATAATCCTAGAATGTAGTCCTCAACACACCAGCATTTTAATGGAAAGTGAACCTTGGGAAAAGCAGAGATTCTAAAATCTGACTTCTTTGTGGTTTGACATTTTTTGTTGTTGTTGTCATTCTTTTAACATAGCTTTTTATTGATCAACTCTTCATTCTTGTTGTGCAAACACTGTTGTTCACTGCTGTCGTTCCAGCTCCTAGCACAGTGCCTGGCACATAGTAGAAGCTCATTAAATATTTATTGAATGAATGAATGAACACATCACCATTAAACAGAGAAACACCTTACAACCACAAGTGTTAACCACCTCATTTGTACCAAGCAAGGGGTAGTGGTGGTGGGATCTATTTTTACTCACGATGTAATTCACACACTTGACAAGAGCCGAGAGAAACTTGGATGATGGGACATGAGAACAGAAAGGGTAGACTAACAGTCACATTCATTTTTGTGTGTCGACATATATATGTGATATAAAATAATCAACCAAACTAAATTCACAGCCATCAGGTTGATATGACTGACAGCAACCCTACAGAACCGAGTGGTCCTGACCACCACCTCGTGCTTCCATGGAGCAGCTGGTCAACCTGACAGTGAGAAGCCCTTACCCAGAAGCCTCTGTAATACAGGGAAGGCTTTTTGTCAAAGCAAAACAATTTGATCAATTTCTCTTCCATCTGTTTGGTCAAAGGCATTCCTTCTATTTGTGAACACATACAAATAGAGAACTGAAAAGTGTGGAGAGTGGTTCTTAATCTATATGAAGGACAGGCCTTCTCGACGACCAAGAGCAGCTGGCGACTCGTTTCCCAGAATGATGCAGTGCCTGGCTGACCACCTCGGCTCCTTATAGGAGAGAGAAGCAACGACTGCTTCCGAGCTCCTGCGGTGGGGGTGGGGGTTACTCAGGCAGCATAAGCAGGGGCCCAGCCATCACTGAATCTCTCCGATGTTGCATCTAGAGTTCTGGCTTTTAGATGCAAAGCCAAGAACAACCACTCAAGATTCACCTGCCTTCCACCCTGACAGGGGCAGGACTTAACACACCAGCACTATCCACGGCTGCCTTGCTTAAGATAATTTGGTCATCATCAGCGCCAAAAACAGAACCATGATGATTACACACCTAAAAAAAGACCTGCTACATCTAAGGAAACTGGAAAGAAAAAAAAGAAAGAAAATAACCAACTGTAGCAGGGAAAGTGAGTGGGCGAACATGGATCTCTGACAAATACTACTCTGAGGAAAACATTTCTGCATGACTAATTCCTTTCTTCTCCAAAAGCAAGAATCTGGGCTTCAGTCTCAAAGATCTAAATTCCTACCACTCTTAAATTGGCACTGCAAAGTTTAAGGGCACCCAAAGCTCTGCTGATAACATGTCCAAAGTGGTCTTATAGAAAACGCATTAAAAAAACATTACACAAGCTCTTCTTTTAAAACATCAGGCAGTCGCAAACAGAGCAAAAATTAGAACTTACGGGCCTGTTACCGGTGCTGGCATGTCCAACATTTGGTCACTAATACTATCCTACGACGTGGCGTTCACTCGGGGGGAAAAACCTCTCTTTGTTTGACTACGCAGTGATACCTCCCCCTGATCCAGACCTTCTATCTTCACGTTGCCCCCTTCCCTCTGCAACCTCTAACCTGTGATCTTTGAACTCTTTGAACTTTCGTTCCTGCTCACCAGAATTTTATCAGCCATCTGCTGGATCTGTTGGGATTTTGTCTGGATGTCATCCTTCAGTCTGTTTTCTCTACGCTCCATGGTCTCTAGCCTCTTTACCTTGTTCTCCAGAGAATGGCGGCGTTCCTGCAGATCGTGAATCAATCAGAGAGTTTTAATGGAGGCACTGCTATGGGCGTGACGCCCACACTGAGGGAACGGACCCTCAAGGGGCACACCCTCTAGTCAGGAGGAAAAGTCAGTGAAGAGGGCAAGAGTCTGTGCAGTTCAAGTATCCAGTTGTATCTACTACCAGAGTGCATTCATTCATTCAAATATTTACCAAGCACCTACTATCTGCAAAGTACCACACTAGGCATCATGGAAAATTCCGGGAGGAGGGTGACAAAATTCCTGCCCTTGGAGAAGATAAGACAAACACAAATAAACAGGTTAAAAGAGGGAAGCAGCATAAGATACATACATACAAGATGCTATGAATGATTCCAGGTGGAACGAGGACTGTCAACAAAACAGCTGAGCAGAGGAATCACAGAGGGGTGAGCCTGGAGACAGGACGCAGGGTTGAACAGGTCGGGGTGGGGGGAGAGGTGCTGGAGAAGACGTGGACGGTGTCACAGAGAAAGTGTGGTGTATTAGGAGAAGCGCAGAGGTGGGCAAGGGTTGGGATAAGCACCAGCGACAGCCTAGAGTGGCTGCAACACAGGATGCATGGTGGGAATGAGCAGAAGAAAGGGTAGCATTTGGAGGTTGAACTGTTGAAAGTGCCCCTAAGATATATGGAACCCTGAAAGGCTTGCGGTGGGTCAGAGTGGGGATGCTGAGGAGCCTTGAATTCAAGGCCTTTCAATCTTACACTGTGCACGTAATCTGGGAGGAAGATGAAGCTAGAAACAAAAAGGACAAGAGAGCATTGCCTTGCTCAGCTAAGAGGCAGAGGGTCTCAACTGGGAGGAACCTATAAAAACAGTAGGGTGGGGGGAGGGGGGCGGGAAGGACGAGGGGAGAGCCGGGGCTGTTCCTCCGGGGCGGGCTGGATAACTCCATGAATGGCAGGGTCAAAGCAAAACCAGATGACACCAAGGTTTTCAAGCTTGGGATGACTAGAGGAATAATGGTGGCCCTCACAGAGACGGGGAGGTTGAGAGAAACCAAACTGGTGTGTGAGGAAGAGACTGGGTTTACTGTAAATGTTAAGCCTTGTTGAGGCACCCAACAGAGATGTCGGGCTGGGGAGGCAATGGAGAACCAGAGAGTGGAATGGAGGTGACAATGGCCCCAATGAGACAAGTACAAGTATGTTCACACCGACACGGTGGCGGGGGAAAGGAGAAAGGCCATCCACGAGAGGACAGATAAATCAACATGACACATCCAAGGGGTGGGGGGGTGTTGAAGAGCAGTAAAGAGGAGAAATGTCCCTTGAGTCAATATCCTTCAGCACTGTGTCCCTTTTTTGACAATGGGAAGACACGTGTATATTCCCTAGATAATTACATAAATGATTTTAACAACAACAACAAAGAATCGGAGGGAGAGAAGAGGCCCAACACGATAGAGGAGGGAGTCACCGACACACCAGCAGTGGCGGGAGCTCTGACAAGCACTGTGGGGGAGAAGAGAACACCCAGGTACACAGGGCCGAGAAAGGGAGACTCAGCGTCAGAGGCACCCGGACGATCCCAGGTTCTCCCCAATCGGCGAGGCGGTCAACGGAAGACCGATGGAGGGAGCAGGCTTCCATCCAGACTTGAAGCGGCAGTGGCCCATGTCACCCCTCTGGGGAAAACTGCCATGACGTCTGTCATGTTTCAAAAGGGTCTTCAGGGGGGAGAGGAGTTGAGTCAGATGTAAGTGAGCGATGGTTCTGCAGTATCTTTCCCTTGGCCCAGCCGCAGGCTGGTCACAGGTGGTCACGGGCTGGAAGCCCCCCCACCCCCCCACCCCCGCTCACCTCGGCTTCTACCAGCTTCTTTTTGATGCCCTCGGAGGAGTCCTCTCGGCTCTGCAGCTTCTCCAGCTCCCGCTCGGCTCGCTCCTTTGCCTGACGAATGTTCTGGAGCAGCTCGGTGGCCTCCGTGCTGGCTTTGACAGCCTACAGGGACAGAAGGAACAAGAGCTGCAGGGCCAGCCTCACTCATGTGGAGAGAGGGCAAGGAGACTCCTGGTGGAGAAAGCACAGATGCTGGTTTTGCTGTGTGTCCTTTCCCCCAAAGCAAAGAAGTCTCTGTTTCATTGTGTCTTTCATCTACTCTGAAACCTATGAGGGGGTGTCAACAGGTTTGAGGAAAAATGGGAATTTAGAAAGGTGAGGAAAATTTAGAAATAATGGGACTTTTTCCCACAACCTTTTTGGAGTTTCCTGATTTTGTTTTTGTTCGTTTTCTTTTTTAAAAGATTTGAACATCACTGATCTCTGGATGCATCTTATTGTAATACCTGGCAGTGCTTTTCTCTCTCTTAAGGTACGTAAGATGACAAGCATGAGCAACGGAGATGCCGGCAGAGTGACTGACTGCAATGAAAATATCTGCAAGGATTTATCTGCTCAGATATTAAGGACAGAGACCTGAGCATGAATTTTCTCCTTACTTAATTATCTGATTTGCGAATTTTCCAATGGAGAATGTGTACTCCTTTTGTAAGAATAAAACAAAAACAAAATGTTATAATTTAGACTTTTTCTGAAGTACACATGTTTCAAAAGGCAGACTAACCTTACCATATATGATGAGCTATAAAGGCAAGTTTTTTAAATCAACAAGAACCCTAGCCAAACCTCTTGAAGTTAATTTGATTTTTTTTAAAATCATTTTATTGGGGGCTCGTACAACTCTTATCACAATCCAAATATACATCCATTGTGTCAAGCACATTTGTACATTTGCTGCCATCATCATTCTCAGAACATTTGCGTTCCACCTGAGCCCCTAGTATCAGCTCCTCATTTTTTCCTTCCCTCCCTATCCCCCATTACTCATGAGCCCTTGATAATTTATAAATTATTATTATTTTGTCATATCTTACACTGTCTGACGTCTCCTTTCACTCACTTTTCTGTGGTCCATCCACCATTGGTATTTATTTTTTGTTTGGGTCTTAACTGCATTAATGGTTGTATACACACTACTATAGAGATCTGAGTTTAGAAGAATAAGAACTTTAAATTGCTTAGGATAATTTTTTTTTAAGCAAAAACTGCAAGAAAACTCAAGAGAGGTACACTTTTCGTTATAGTAGCTATCAACCATAGGAGGCTACTGAGTACTTGAAATATGGCTGGCTGATGAGACTAAGAAATTAATTTTTAATGTTAAGTAACCTTACACTTACTTTAAAAACCGAAGCAGTATAAATGTTAAAAAATATTAGTACGGATGGAAATTATCATATTTTGGATATCTATACAGAGGTTGAATAAAGCATGTAATCAAAATAACTTTGCCTGCTTCTTTTTGCTCTTCCTAACATGGTAACTACCCTCTGGGTGGAAGCTCACATCACACAGCTACTGGAGGGCACAATTCCAGAAGAAAAGACACAGCCCAGTGTTTCACTCAAGCATCCGGTTAAGAGAGGGCGGTGGAGGGAGGGCGAGCTGGCGCAGCAAGGGTAAACAAGACCCATAGGCACACTCACCTATCTGTGATAGGAATGGCATGTCTTAGACCCATGTTGACTCTCGCCCTTTTGTTAAACATCCCCAGTGGTCAATGAAAGGGAAGGTCATTAAGGGCAAACTTCAGGACACCACGAACCTTCTCCCATCCCATGAGATGACACTGCAGGTCCTTCCACCTTCCAACACCCCAGTGACCCCAAAACGCACGCAGCTGACCCTGACTCTTGATGGTCCGACAGGTACCAGAGTAGAACTGCCCTCAATAGGGTTTCTGGTGGCTGATGTTTCCTCTGAGATGCCTCACAGGAGCCTCAAAGCTGTTCAGTTAACAACCGGCCCAGTCACCATTTGAGCACCCCAGGACCTCCTTCCTTTGTACGGCCTTCTCAACGCTGCCATCTGGGGCTTGAACCACACAGCGTCTCAGACACATGGGCCAAATGGGGAGCCTGGCCTCCTGAGGGGAGTGACACCATCCTCAAGGGTCTGTCTGATTCCCTGGTAGTATAATTAGAACTTTTACTTGAGAGTCGCCTGCAGTTGGGCTTTTAAAAATAAACACTGCTGACACGTCTCAAGAGGAAACACTGTATTCAGAACTCTGAGGGTTTCAGGTAGCAGCTCACAGCGTCTTCATCCTCCTCAGCACTGAGTGACTATGAATGCCTCTCTCTTTGGTGCAGTAGGGAGAGGCAGAGGAAGGGATTGGGGCATGGGAGGAAGATTCCCCACCCCACCCCACCCCCCGAATCATCCTGGGCTTACCTTTTCCAGTTTCTCTTGGAGCTCCTGGATTTTGAGCTGCTGCTCAGCATTGGTCTACAGTTAAAATCCCAGGAAATAAAGGGAAAGGCAAACAGGCATTATTGACTTGCTACATTTATTACAGTCTCATTTTCATCAGGTTTCTATGGGGCCTCCTTGTGCTATGTTTTCCAGAACCTACTAATTGAGAGAGGAAGAACAATCCGCATATACTACGGCAATCCTCCTCCAGGGGGCTCGTTCATGTTTATTACTTCTCTACACCCAACAACATGGCCAAGAGAGAGGCAAGGTTGCCCACTGCCTCGGAGCAATAGGAATTTTCATTTGCATTCTGCTGAGCGTCTAGGTGTATTTTGCTACAAAAAATGAGGTGTCTTTTATCTCAACTCAAAACCACAGTTGAAGCCAAGCATGGCCATCCCAACATTGATTATCAAAAGCAACTTAGAACAGAGATTTCTAGTCCATGTTACTCTTTGCCAGTGACTGAACATTGATATCAATGTAGAAATCCTTATCTACCAAGAATAAGGGCACCAGTAATGGAAATTACCTTCTCCAATTTGGCATATTCTCCCACTTCAGGCTTCCCTGGGTCCTTAGCCTGTAATTAAAAACATAGAACATACTGGGAAATGTCAGAGACCGAAGTCTTCCAGATAAGACAACCCAGGGCTCTTCCTTACTCTTTCGGAAACACATAGGGTTGCTATGCGTTGGAATCAACTCAACGGCAATGGGTTTGGTGTGGTGATCAAAATATCTGTTTGTAAGAATGGAGTGTGAATCAATGGTTGTTGATAGTTACCATCAAGTTAATTCCGACTCGAGACCCGTGTATACAGAGTAGAACTGTGCTCCGTAGGGTTGGCAGGGTTGTGGCCATTCAAAAGTAGACCACCAGGCCCTGTCTGCCTAGGCATCTCTGGGTGGGTTCAATCCCCCAAGCTCTGGCTGCAAGCCAACCACTTAACTGTTGGCACCATCCAAGCACTCGTTTCACAATAACAAAGCATCTTCTGTAATGGAAGACTGGGAGCTTTCCAAGGCATCCCGTTTATTCCCCAAATGTATAATCCTTAGGATGGCATTCCCATCATTGCTGCCAAGATCACCCATGATCCTACCCAGATCACACAAGAAGAGGGACTGTGCTCTCCTTCCAGGAGGGTGGCTGGCTACCTTCATCAGTTTGTGCTGACTCTCTGTCACCTTCCGCTTGAACTCTTCAGCGGCGAGCCGAGACTCTCTCAGCTCGGACTCATAGAGATCACTCCGTCTTCTTGCCGAGACAAGATCTTCTTCCAACTGGTTCATCATCAACCTCATTTCTTCCACTTGAGCCTGGTACTCCTAGGGAGCAGGCAATGGAATAAAGGTGAACTTTCAGAACTCCTGAAAGAAAGAGCAGGCAGGAAAGAGGGAGGAAGAGCAGGCACTCTGACTCACACGCTGAAGAAAGACAGAGAAGAGCCCCAGAGACCAGGTGACGAGAACGAGGAGCGAGGTAAGAGAAGTGAGGAGGGCGAGCAGGGAGGGGAAAGAGGAGGAAGGAAGGAACATTAAATCTTTACACTGATTTATCGTTGGACATGTATTATCAGTAAAACCATTTGGAGCCTGTGTGCCTGTAATGAGATCCTTAGAACAAATGCTACCACCCACCGTGCACAGTCCTTACGGCGTTGTTTGTAACACAGGAGAGCTGAAAGGAGCGGTGCTTCAAAACAAGAAGGAGAAACTGCTTACGTGTAGTTTTCTTCCAAGGGTAATCATTTATATAGATTTGTCCTTTAGAAGTCATGTGCTTCTAACACAATTAGATATGGTACTAGTTTTAAAATTAACCTTTCAGACAGCGGCACAAGGGGGTAATTGGAAATCTCAGTGGAAAAAATCTGGGAAGGTGAAACCCATTATGTCAGTTTCTCACCATTAATTTTTCTAGATGCAAAACCGAATGATGAACTGAACACTGTGGCTAAGATTCAAGCCACCCTGAAATCTGGAGAGGAGGACAACACTGGCTGGAGTCAGAATAACTTGTGGGGGAAGAAAAATACAAAAACAAGGGAAATATTCCCCTGCTCCTCAGAGCAAACCCTTTAAGGTGATCCAAACAGCCCGAACTTTTCAAAAACGAACTTCCAAGACCAAAACAGAACATATGAATTAAGGTTTTTGTTTGTTTGTTTTTCAAAACCAATGAAGGTTTTCAGAAGAACCAGGTATAGGTTTTGAACAGGTTGGACCGAGCACAGAAACAGTCGTTGTTAGCAGCATCAGGACTGAGTACAGTGGTCGCGGATGAGCGTTCGCCCACCTCACGGTGTCTTGGAGGGACATGAAATGAGAAGAACAGACCCAAGACGGTCTTTGGCAGTCAAAACACAGTGAACATCTCAAAGACCCTTCCTCCCCACAAAGTCATGTGAGCGCTAGCAACTGAACACGGTGCTTCATTTTCCTTTTAAACCAACAAATACAATTTACAAATTTTAAACTGATAGGCCATAAAGCCACACTCTCACCCCAAGAAAGCAGGTCCCCCGTGCACCCTAAACAGGAGTGGATTCCTCTTGTGACAGATGGATTGTTTCTGGGCAAGCCCGCCCTGGATCACTGATTGAGAGGGAACTCACTTCACTCACTCCCACCCGAAAGCACACTATCTATGAAGGCCAATCCTAGAGACGAGGGGGGTCACAATGAGTTTCTGGGCAGTCCAAAATGAGGCATGGGACATTAGATTCCATCACCAAACGTCTTCAGAAACCTCATCATGATGATCAGTCAGCAGAAAGCAGCACCTGAGCACAGATTATGCAAACCAGTGCATTCTCTCCTTAGGGCTTCTCTAGACCCCTCAGCCAGGATCAAGGAGCCCAGGTGGTGCACTGGTTCAGCTGTTCATACAAAGACTGGTGCTTGAAACTCATCAGCCACTCTGTGTGTGTAAAGACCTGTGGCCT